GTGACGGAGCTGCTCCTGGCTGGAGTGGACACGGTACGTGTCCCTCCGCGTTGCAAGCTCCGCATCCAGAGCTTAGCGCCCCAGTCCCTGGGGCCCGCCGGGGTCCGCTGTGGCCCTCTCACTCGACCGGGCCGCCTCCTGGGTTCCGGCCTGCCCCCCACATACTCTGCTACCCAGCCTGGTGCCCACGCTCAACGCCACTGACCGCTCCTGCTCCTTCAGGTGTCCAGCACGCTCTCCTGGGCTCTGTATGAACTCTCCCGGCACCCCGAGGTCCAGGCGGCTCTGCACGCTGAGATCGCAGCGGCCCTGGGCCCCGGCTCCCACCCACCGCCCACTGCTCTGTCCCAGCTGCCCCTGCTCAAGGCCGTGGTCAAGGAAGTGCTCAGGTGGGGGCAGGGGCGTGTTGGGAAGGCGGAGGGAAGCAGGGGCTGGGGACAGGGCGCACGGACGGGACCGAGGGCCCAGCGCCGGGCGGCCTGGGAGCCTTAGCCGTGGCCTCACCGCGCCAGGCTGTACCCTGTGGTGCCAGGGAACTCTCGGGTCCTGGGCAGAGACGTTCGCGTGGGTGACTACACCATCCCCAAAAACGTGAGTTGGCCCAGCGGCCCTGTACTGAGCCCCCCTCGCTACCTTGGCCCAGGCCCGTTCTGCAGCCCGCCCCTGCGCCCCAGCGCCGCTCTCCGGGACGATGGGGCAGTCGGGGGACCCTCCCCCCCAAAGTGGCCGGGAAGCTCGCCCCGCCCTCAGCAGCGCCCGGTCCCTGCCGCAGTCCTCGGCCCAGGTTGCGGAGCGAGCTGTTTCTCCCCCCAGACGCTGGTCACCCTGTGTCACTACGCCATGTCCAGGGACCCGGCGCAGTTCCCCGAGCCAGACTCCTTCCGCCCCGCGCGCTGGCTGGGGGAGGGCCCAGCCCCGCACCCCTTCGCCTCTCTGCCCTTCGGCTTCGGCAAGCGCAGCTGTATGGGGCGGCGGCTGGCAGAGCTTGAGCTGCACATGGCGCTGGCCCAGGTGAGTGGCCTCCGTCGGCGGTCAGCGGCTGCCCACCGCCACACTGCCCCCACGTGGGGGAGGGGCACTTGGACCCGAGCCCTGACGTCATAGCCAGGGAGCCCCACCTGAGTGCTGATACCGCCTCCAGCAGGCAGCGCACCCTCACAGACCCGTGACCGCCTGCTTCGTCCTCCTCCAGATCTTGGTCCACTTCGAGGTGCGGCCCGAGCCAGGGGCGGGCCCCGTCAGACCCATGACGCGGACAGTCCTGGTCCCCGAGAGGGCCATCAACCTCCAGTTTGTGGACAGATGACCCTGTGGAAGGAAGCGGTCATCGCCACCACAGGGGCTCGTTAGGCGTCACACGGGCATGTGCACACCCCAAAGTCTGTCTCGCACCCAGCTAGACCAAGCGGCCATCGCAGGAGGCTCCACCAGGGTGTGGCGCTGTGCCCGCCTGCCCAGGCGGCCATGGGCCGTCTGCCCGCCTGCCCGCCCTCCTGCCCGCCCGTCGCCCCCCTCCTGGCCCCGTCCTTCAGGGCCGGCTCAGGTCCTAAGGAGCAACGCTGGGTGGCGGCAGGAAGGACTCGGCCTCGACCGGGGCTTCTGAGACCTCGTTGCTGCTGCAGGCCCAGCAGTGCCGGCATTCCCTACGTGACCGCCCACGTGCTGCAGCTGGTGGGCCCTTTTCAGAGGAAGGGTGAGGCCTTGCTCCAGCTGTCATTCTCCAGCCAAGGCGCACCCCTAAGTAGGCGACGCAGATTCTCAGACTGAATCTGGACCAAGGGGCAGAAGGGGCCAGCCCCACCCACCCGCCCCCCACATCTTATACCCAGGAATTGGACATTTTACAAACGCTCCTGACTCTGTCTGTCAGGGTGGCTCACCCCCACCAAGTTCCCCAGCAGGGACATCTGGGTGTGTCCCTGTCCAAGCATGTTTATATGTTCAACTATTTTAATATTCATAGTTTTGAAATAAACAAAAACAAACATTCCACCCTGACTTTTGACTTACTACTTCTCTGCTGCTCCCACTTCCAGAAGACCTAGAGGCAAGACCTTCTCCAGAACCCCACACCCAGCTTCTCGGTCCTGGGAGTGGCCTGGTAACAATGGGGGGTCCAGACACCCGGAAGTTTGCATCAGGAGCCCAGACAGTTTGGGAACAGCCAAGTCTGGCTTTCAGGAAGAGAGCAGGGGTGGTGGGAGGGGCTGTGACTGGGGGAAAAGGCGTGGGGAGAGTAGCTGGCTTGTGGAAGCCGGACTGCCAGGACGCCCTTCAAGACGGTCGTTCTGCCTTCTCTAGAAAGTCACTCCAAGAAAATTTCCTTTGGGGAGAGGGAGCGATACGGGAGAGAAGTGAGGTCAGGATCAAAGCCCAGTGTGGGGGTGGCCAGAAGCCCTGGGCCTCCAAGTGAGGAGCGGGGGTGTCCGAAGGAGGCTCTTTCCCTGACTCAGCACTCTTTGCCCCCCACCCCGAGGCTGGGCACAGCTCTCCCTTGTGAGGCAGACAGATTTACTCATCTTCCATACAAATAAATCTCTCAGCACACTTCCGAGAAATTTCTGTACCCTGGCTTACCCTTTCCAAGCCCAGGCCTGCCTCCTGCTCCAAGCCCCACGTTCCAAATAGCCGGATGGAGATGGAAATCGCACTTTACATCTCCTTCTCTGCCCACTGCCCAGTAGGCCTGACCTCTGACCTCGGGCTCCATCAGCCACCAGGCCGTCTGGAGTCACGAGTCGCGCCGTGAGATGGGCAGAGGCGGGGTGCACCCGGGGCCTGCGACGGGCCCAGGCTCTGAGCCTCTCCCAGGCTTCTCAACGCCTTTGCTGTACTGAAGATCTCCACTCTCACTCCCTTACCACTGAGTCCAGAGGAACCTAAGAGATCTGATTTTCAGCAGATTTGAGTTTGTGGGAGAATAAAGTTCACCTCAGGCCTTCCCTGGTGATGCAGCTGGTTAAAGCACAGCACCGTCAAGCCAGCCACAGATGTTTCAGCGCAAGTTTGAGCCCCGGCCAGGGAGCTGACCACAGGGCACAGCACACCCCTCCTGCCTCCCCGCTGTTCCCCTCAGCAGTGGGTGTCGTCCATCGGCCTGTTCTGCTCCCCACTCTGTCTCTGGGGAATCCTGTCACTGCCCCTGCACCTCTGGCCTGTACCCCAGTTCTGTGTGTACAAATAAATCTTTAAAAAAAAAAAGTCCAGCTTCCTCTCAGATTCTTTCTCCTAGAGCCAGTGGTGAGAATTCTGCACACCCACACTGCCCGCTTGAGAAAAGCAGCAGTTTCTATGACCCCTGGCCCTGGACAAGCATCCCCAAGCTGTTGAAAGGGGGTGCTGACAGTTGCCAGTGCCAACCCTGTACCTAGCGGCCTAGTGGTGCTAATGGGAGAAACACGCGGCACCTCTTGGCTGGGTTTAGGATGCAGTGTAGACATGGAGTCAGCATGGTCACAGGTGAGTGTGTCTCTGTTCTCAGTATGTCTAAGCGTCCGTGTGTTTCCATCGGGGGGAGAGCCTCGCTGTGCTCAGGGGAACCCCGTCTGTGTCAGACCAAACTGAAGTCCTTCTGCCAGGACAGGTTATTAGTCATCACTCTGGCTTCTGCTCCTACCAGTTAGTGAGCCTGTGAAGTCAGTAAAGAGCCTTCTGTCTCCCAGGTGGGGAACGTGAAGGGACTCTCTGGGGAAAGTGTCCCACTGGAAATATGGGGGCTCCGCTCCAGCCCCCCTGCTCCACTTCAATCACCTCAGAGCTTGGAAGTTTCACACTTCCACACCTGCAGGTGTCTCAGACTTGAGTTCAGGTGTCTCAGCTTTGGTTCTTACACAGCTAGCAGAGTTAGGATGCCAGCACCATGGACAGCAGCCACCCCACCCCCACCCCCACCCCATGCACCTGCCCCTTTTGGACAGGGGTAGGAAATGACCACTTCCTGGGCAAAGACGCACGCCCTTGAGTAGAGAAGCGTTTTCCCTGAACATCCACAGGGAGAGGGTAGAGCAGAGCCTTCCTGGGAGAAGGACCAATAATGGCATAGGCCTCGGATCCGACTTAGGCAATGTGGGTTATTTTAATAGCTGATGAATAGTTCACTTAAAAAAAAAAACACCATCGTTCATATATAATACACAGACCCAAGGCTTCAGGAAGGAGATGGTGGGTAGGGAGTTTTGGGAACCAGAAAGAGCCCAGGCTTCAGGCCGACCCATATTTTGACTAGTCTTTCCCAAACCTCCTCTCTCTAGAAAACAGCGCTCAAGGCTGCTGCCACCAAGCCCGGCGCCGTCCGGGACATGCCACTCGCCACCGGGGGCTCGCCAGGGCCAGACCTGTAACCCTGCTGTCCTCGGAGCAGCTTACAGTGGGACTGGAGACCTGAAACATCAGGGGGTTCCGCCTGAGCACTGCACACGAGTCCAAACTCATGTCCTCCCACTGGCCTGGGCGAGCACAGACCTGGGGGGCCAGCAGAGCCCACGTGACCCCCAGAGGACTGCGTGGTGTTCCCTCAGGCTCCGGCCTCCGAGGTTCAGGAGCCTGGGGGAGCTCTCCTTCGCGCAAATCACCACCACCCTTCACATTTGCAGTGACTCCCCCTACATTTCCATATCTACTAAGACTCGACACACATTTCCGAGGCTCTGAGCGACTTCAGATGAAAAGCGCATTTGTTAACAGACTCCTATTTGAAATAAACGGACCATCAGCTAGTCTAAGAAATCTCTTTATGCCATCACTGATTTCCTTTACAGTGGCATTCCACCTGTCCCTTGTTTATCCTCATTCCAACCCTATGAGGTAGGCAGGAAAACCACAGCAGAGAGATTTTTTTAAATCACACAACTTGCAGGTGGCAGGCCCACCCGAGATGCCTCGGCGCCGCGCCACCTGGCAGCCACCCTAAGTCACTCACCAGCAAGTGGGCCACACCTCCAACGCACAGCCCACTGCCACGTGGGGCCGGCGACTCTGCAGAGAAACCGCCCCACGCCTCCCAACCCTCCAGAAAAGCCCCAGATGAGAAAGGAGTCTCGAGTGCATATAAATGATTCTTTATGCCCCGCCCCCATGCAATGGGGGGCGGGGCGGGGAAGGCCCCGCCCTCATGCAGGAACGGGAGGTCAATGTATACTAGTCTTATTGCCAGATGCCCTGTGGCCATGGGTAGGGGAGGGGGGGTGACAGCCCCTTTCTTCTGGCGCGGCCCCCCTTCACCAAGACACCCTGGTGGAGCTGGGGGGGCGGAGGCCCTGGGAGCTGAGGTAAGGACGGTTCTCTGTGGAAGAAAAGCTGCTCTCCCCACCTGCCCGCCGGCGGCCCCGGGATGAGGATGAGGCGCCGTCGGGGGGCTGGAGTGCCACCCAGGTGTCTCTACCCTTCGATGGGCAGCACAGGCCAGACAATGTCTCCAGCGTGCAGCTGTCCACAGCGGTCCTCAGTGCCCCGCACCTTGTCCACACCTGTCTCCGGCAGCCGCGGCGGCTCATCTCTGGCGGAGGCACCGATGCAAGATCCCCACTCCCGGCGCCCAGCTCAGACCGTGGTGACCCTCATGACGACCTCGCGGCCAGAATGAGAACTGGAGCGGGCATCTGGTGGCCGCAGCTGTCCAAGGAGGTGCAGGATGGTGTAACCACAGCGTTGAGGCAAGAGCGTCCGCATTCGCTGGGCAGCCGGGGGGCGGCTGGAGGCCCCGGACGGGGGGCCCGTCCGTGAGGTCCTGGGGCCCGGCTTCCCTGCCGTCCCGCCCCCCGCCTCTCCGCCTATGTCCTTTGTCTTGTCGTAATTCAAGACCTTCCACTGCTGGTTCACCGCCTGCCAGCGCTTGAAAATGCGGTACACGGAGGAGCCTTCATGGACGATGAGGCCTGAGCAAGGGGGACAAGAAACCCGTCACCTGCGGCCCGGACACAGGTGAGGGACACTTAGGCACTTTTCCCAGAGGGAGGCGACGGGGCTGTAAAAGGGCCAGAGAAGCAGGGGAGGGCGGAGGACACGGCAGCCCAGTGGCAGAGGGCGCGGCAGCGGGGGCGCGGGCTGCAGGAGGCCGGGAGGGGCGCCGCACCTACGCACACGACGTCCATGAAGCCGTACATGCCGTAGCAGATCTGGAAGAGCAGATCCTGCCGCTGCCACTTGGCCGAGGGGCTGAGTGAGGACCAGATGAGCCAGGAGATGCTGGCGACGAGGAAGAGCGAGCCCAGGACGATGGCCGCGATCTGGACCTTCTCTATGACCGTCAGGGAGATGGCCTGCCACTGCGTGGAAGAAAAGGGAGCCCGAAAGTCACAGACGGGTGGAGGGGCTCCCTGGTGGCGCAACGGGTTACAGCGCAGCACTGCGAGCCGGCCGCAGCCGCTGCAGCACGAGTTCGATCCCCGCCAGGGAGGGACCCCCAGGGCGCTGCTGTCCTCAGCAGTGGACTTCGTCCATCTGCCTGTTCTGCTCCCGGCTCTGTCTCTGGTGACCTCTCTTACTGCCCCCACACCTCTGGCCTGTACCCCAGTTCTGTAAGCACAATAAATCTTCTTAACATATGCTCATCTTAGAAAAAAAAAAAGAGGTGGCGGCCAGGCGGGTGGCCTCGCATGCTCCAGGACGGCTCTCTGTGGCGAACCCCCAGGGCTCAACGTGCTGCCCCTCGAAGCCGGGCCCCCCAGAAGGGGCCCCTCTCTGCTGCTCGAGACCCCTCACGCTGCACAGGCAGCATGGAGCCAGTGCTGCGGACACAGAGCACGCAGGCGTGAACTCCGGCCCCCAGCTCGTCCCTGGCCTCGTCTTAAACTGGGGGCGAAGAGGGCGACAGCTCGTGTCCACCGAGCTTCCGTCTGTGTGTCCCAGTTTCTAGGACAGTGCCTGCAGAACAGGGGGCACCCCGGTGAGTAAAGGGGTGCTTAGAGCGCGCAGGCTGCGGGAGCCCACCCGTGACTTTGAGGAAAGCGCGAATGGACGGAATCTCGCTGGATTCTCGCGGCTGGCGGCCCTGGCCGGGCCCGCGTCTCCCCCGGCCTCACCTGCAGCGGGTTCTTGGTACTGATGGCCAGAACCTGGTACTTGAAGTAGCAGAGCTCACAGCTCCAGGAGCCCCTCTCGCTGATCCAGCGGATGAGGCAGGGCTGGTGCGTGCAGCGCACGGAGCCGTCGCACCGGCAGGGGCTCAGGAGCTCCCCCTGCGGGAAGAGCGAGGCGGCCTGTCACACTCACCCCCACCCCGTCCACCTCAGCCCCAGGCCCGGAACCCCTTCTCCAGGGCACTTACACGAAATAAAAAAACCGAGCCTTGTCACCCAAAATAGGGCCCGGAGCGAAGGTTGTAACAGAAAAATGAAAGACTTGGTGCTCAAGGGAAACTTCCTGACCCAGGAGATGAGGGGGGGAAGGGGTTGCAGGGAGTGGTTGGCCCCTCTCTCTCCCTGGAATTTGGGGGGTGGCCTTTGAGTCTTCCCAATGGGCTAGGAGAAGGCAGGGGCGGGTCTGGGCCAGGCCTTCCTCTCCCAGCCCACCACAGCAGGGTACCTCGCAGGTGTGCACACAGGGACAGCCCACGGTTCTCCGTTTCCAAACGCCAAAATGGGACCGCGACCAGGGCTAGGGGCGAGGGTGCCCCCCTCTAATCAAGGGGCCATTTCTCACGAAAGAAGGACACTCCCGTGGCACTATCCCGGACACGTTTAATCCGTAACATTTAAACAAAGAATGCTCTTTGGAATGAGCTGGAAAGTTGCAAAATGGGAGTGGAAAAAAGTGGCCCACGCAGAAAAATCTGAGTGAGGCGAGGGCGCCGGCCGGCCCCCCCCTTCAGGGTGGGACTAGAGGCCTCCTCCTCTCTGCCCTCCTGGGAGAGAAGATGCCCCCTGCGCCTACAAAGACCCCGGGGTGAGAGGACTGGGGGAGCAAGGGTACCCCGGTTAGTGGGCGAGACAGATTCTGAGCCCACCCGGGGGAAAGCCCCCCCATGCGCCCCTCCACCCCGACAGGCGCCCCAGGAGCCACCAGCCGGGCCCCCCAGCTCACCCCGGCCCGCGCCGGGCCCAGGGGGCCGAGCAGCTGAGGTGACCCGTCTCCTCTCCAT